GGAGGGGAGGGGACGCGCACTATAACGAGTGTTCGAGGCTGATGGAGATTGGTGAGTAGCAAATTCACCGGACGTAACTACAGGATAAAGATTTCACTGTAAAAAATCAGGCTTGTTTGGCAAAATGCTGCTACAAAATGTAAAAAACAACAAACAAAGAACAAAGCGAAACTATGATGCATTACTGGCACTCTGGGCGACTGAGATGCCAACGCTGCTTTCTCGTGTACAGATGTAATTTAATATCATTATATTACACAAAATCCCTAACACATTTATAATAGATTTAGTTTTGCAACTACAAACCATGGAAACTTAAATGAGATGGTGTTGTAAACTCAGTGGATTCTCCCAAGTGATTTTACAGCTACATAAACACAACGCACTATTCACAGAAAAACTTTCTATCACGCATGGAAACTACGCTGTTCACCGAAATTTGATGAGACAAAGAAGAGTTCATTAATCAAAGGTGATTTTCAATTTTGTTCAGTGGCTAAAGGAGGACATTCGAAGATTCTGCATTGTGTTTCTTGCTGCAAAAAACAAAGAAACAAGTAAATAAACAAGTAGGTTAAACTAGGTGTGTCTGTTTTTATACCTGTAGTGTCAACTTTCAAAAGGTAATCTTCGATGAGAGAGGGTAAGATTCAACTCAGGAGACATAGCGCCTATATTTTAAGTTCGCGCTCTAAAAATTCGGATAAAAAAGGGATAAGTGGCTCCAAAGGTAAAGTTTACTAGGTTCGAGGGCAAGACTTTTAAGCGTTTTATTCCACCCAATGCAACTTGGGTCAGCGGTCAAGCGAGATGATGGACGTGTCCATCGATGTCTTTGAATTTTGTTGAAGCTGTCTTTCTTTTTCTACTAGCTTTTTTTTTCTTTTTTCTTTTTGTGTTTTGTGCAGTGTGCGCGTGTGCGCATTTATTATTAACCTAAGTAAGGCTGCCCTATCTTTTTAGCCCTCGATAGTTATTATAGGCAGCCTGTACTATTTCAATTTTTGATATATTTTTTGTATCATGTAAATCAATGTAGGTAAAAAAAACAAGTTTTTGTTGTTGTTGTTGTATGAAAACCGAAAAAGGCGTTGTTCCATGAACACCGAAAAAAGCCAAAAAAATGGACCAACCGTGAAAGTAAATGGTGTCGGTGATGTCATCTGGGTGGGGTACAAACGGAGGAGGCTGGGTATGAATTGAAGACCAGTCCAGATTTGAAAAGAATGGAAGGCTTTCTATCTCTAAAATGAAAGGAACGAAAAAAGAAAACGAAAAAAGAAAACGTCAACTAATGAAGGGGCGGGTGGTTTGGTTTGTAACGACAGAAAACTTTAAAAGAACACCCTTGAAATTAGAGACCAAAATTAAAAACTGATCATAAGGATGAAAACAACTTTTCAAGTACTCATCTTAATGCATGGTCCAAATTTACAAAACGAAAATTTGGAGAAGAGAAGGGTCATACTATCGGAGACTTGACAGCCTGAAATAATATTCATAGACGCTCAGGTCCCCGGTGGGGGATGGGGGTGGGTGAAGTATATACACCTCTGGGCCCAGTTGTATAAAGGGCGGATAACGCTGTCCAACGGATAAATTGCTATCCAGCGGATAAACAATAGCAGAAGGTACTGCACTATCCACTGGATAGAGATTTATACAGTGGACAGCGTTATTCAACCTTCAAACAACCGGGGTCTATAATAATAAATTGCTATCCAGCGGATAAACTATAACAAAAGGTACTGCACTATCCACCCGATAGAGATTTATACAGTGGATAACATTATTTAACCTTCAAACAACCGGGATCTATAATAAGAAATTGCTATCCAGAGGATAAACTATAGCAAAAGGTACTGCACTATCCACTGGATAGAGATTGATACAGTGGATAGCGTTATTCAACCTTCAAACAACCGGGGTCTATAATAATGAATTGCTATCCAGCGGATAAACTATAGTAAAAGGTACTGCACTATCCACCCGATAGAGATTTATACAGTGGATAGCATTATTTAACCTTCAAACAACCGGGGTCTATAATAATAAATTGCTATCCAGAGGATAAACTATAGCAAAAGGCACTGCACTATCCACCCGATAGAGATTTATACAGTGGATAGCGTTATTCAACCTTCAAACAACCGGGGTCTATAATAATAAATTGCTATCCAGCGGATAAACAATAGCAAAAGGTACTGCACTATTCACCCGATAGAGATTTATACCGTGGATAGCGTTATTCAACCTTCGAACAACCGGGGTCTGATTTAGTACCTAGAATATTTTTCAAATATGAAATCCAACTTTTTTAACTTGAAACAACAACTGGTTAAATGAAATTACGTAAGGTTTCTAAGTATCGGGTACTTATTTGGGTCTAGATACAGAAATCCAATTATGAGATTCTTAAATTTAAGGAGCCATTTCCGAGTAAGGTCTCTTAAACTTAGATGCCAACCAACGGTAAAAGAATTGAACCTCTAGCACCAGGTCTCTGTTCTGCCTCAAGAATAAGGATACGTTCCACAGCATCAACTGCATTTTGGGATAGCGCCTCTTCTCCCTCGGGCCACAGTAATTCTTCAATGTAAAACGAACACGCAAAATGTAAGGATCATGTTTATGATAGTACGTCGATGGTCGGTCGACAACCTGATCCAAATTTAAAACATCACTACAGCCTCAAATTTGCTACATTCGTTAGAATTTTCCTATGAGCTCAACATCTTACCTCTTTGCATGATATGACTAAAGACCAGTTCAGGCGTGTCGTCGTTAAATGGCGGAACTCCCGTAAGAAACTCGTACAGACATACCCCTAGGGACCACCAGTCCACTGCTGGCGCTGAGGAAAAAAAGACATTTTGATCAAATCGCCTTAGATAAAGCCACACACTTCTTTGAATAATGGTTGTGGAATTAGTAGTATCATGCTAATCATTCCAGCATCCTATTATTCGCAAGCTGAGGATTATGGAGTGATTTTGTCTTTACTGGTTTGATAAGCAGCGTTTTTGTGTGGTTTCACTTCGTTCGAAATGAACCGACCAAGGGATCGGGTAGAGCCGGAAACTACGTGGTCGAGAAGGGTACACCAAAATAAAAGTTTCCAATATCTTGAAGGAGGTGAAATGAGGTGAGATTTTCTACGCAACCCAGTTTTTCCAGTTGTAAGTTTCTGAACATTCTGCTTTTGCCACCGATTTAGTATCCAGAGTTTTTTTCTGATCCTTTACTAAACCCCCGAAACTACTCAGAAATGATGTTCTTGCTTGCATTCAAAGTCATAATGACAGGTAAAATGAATACCCCCAGTGCTTATTGTACCAAACTTACTGTGCTCGTTTCCCAAGAGTATTTCTGGCGCGAGGTAGTCTGGAGTTCCCAGAATTCTGTTCTTGGGTGGTGAAAATGTTCGCCGCTTTCCTCGTTTACAAGACTTAGGTGTCCTAAAAGGTGTCCGAATGAGAGGGGCTGAGGTGTGGTGCCACTGGTTGGAGACTTCCATGGGGCCGGGGGTACTTTTTAAGCTTGAACTACTCTGAAAAGTGACATCCATGGGCGATTCAGTTGTTACTGTAACAGGTAAACTAATGTCCATGTGAGAACCTGGAGCCTGAATGACACTTTTCCCTTCTTCCTCGCGTTCTTGGTCGCTGTTCTCAAAAGGGATTGTCATACAACGAGGGCGACTCGAGGATTCCACTTCACTGTCACCATGAAAGACTTCGCCTTTGTTCAAATCGTTATCTTCACTTGGCTCCACATTAACACCACTTACGTTTTGTTTATTTTCGAAATCGATTGTCAAACTTCTTTCCAGTGGATAAGAAGGACACGACTCAGAGGAAGAGTTAGCAATGTTGACCGTCAAACCAACATGATGTGATGAAAATTCCTCATTCTCTACTTCATCAGCTGAGCTGTTGTTCATATTTTTGTGGCTAATATCTGGTGAAGGTGGTAAAACTGCAATCCCACTCTCGCGCCTCGAGAGACTGCTATTCTTATCAATACCGGCAATTAGTGAAATTTCATCTGTGATTTCGATTTCCGACCTATCTGGTGTCTGATTAGCAGTAAATTCTCCTTCCCTTGAAAATGGACTTCCACTTGAATTAAAACCGGAACTTCCGCTTGTATCTACCTTCTGAGATGTCCGCAGACCATCGTTACTTCCTCTATTCCCCGCAAGTTCAAGTGCCCTAATTCCTTTCGATTCTTTATCAGTTTTCTCCAAATCACCGTTAACTGCTTGGTTGGGAAACCTGCAGTCTAGTTCACTGCTTTTTGTACAAGGACTACTCGTTCCATTAATATAATCCGAAGTACAATTCACCCCTGGCGACGTAATTCTACGCGTCATAGACGTTAAAGGTGTACAGGTAGTCATGGCTCGCTCCTTCTCCAAACATTCGTTGTGAGGAGTTATTTGTCCTTTCCCTTTCAAAAATTCCATCATAGTCCCAGCTCGTTCACGTGGACTGGAAAACTCAAGGACCAACGGTGCACAACTGGAGGGGTTTGGAGAAGTGAGGGTTTCTTGCACCAGAGATGCTGTCCTTCTCTCGCTTTTTACAACAGGGCTTTCAAATTTACATTCCGGAGAGCTTTTGTCACTCAAAGGGTGATTCTTAGGTAAGAAGTCAGCTCCCTTTACTAGGGATCGCTGAGGTGTACACATCTCCTGGAAAGGGCCTCTAGCAGACTCATTATCAGAGCCCCTTCGTATTTCCTTCAATGTCAGCGCATCGATTTCACTGGTCAGCCCAGTCTGTCGAAGTCTCTTTGAAGCCGGCAATAGGTTTTCTTCATCAGGTGATCTGTTTCTCACGTTTTTAGGCAGCACTACATCCGCAACCAGAGGTGACGTAGGGGGATCGTCGATGTTAAATGTCTTTTGGCTGATTTTTGGGCAAAATTGGGTTCGCTTTTTGACGGCCTGTCCTGTACAAAACGACATAAAAAAGTTGATCAAGTTTGTCTAAAATAATGTCAAATTTAGTTATAAGCTTGTCGGAATCAAAGTCGTACTGTGATACTCCCGATATTGTGAAAACTCGATTGTCAAAGGCGCAAGCTGAAGGAGAAGAGTCAACCAATCACAATAAAAGTTCACTGGCTATCCGGATACAGTACTGTTCGACTCCAAATATGTAATTTTCTTTACATGATGAACGACGGAGTCATATGCGGCATTAGCATTTTTCTTCCGATACGGTCATTTCGATTTTCTCCAGATCGTATCGCTCTGTACTTCTAATTACGAATCAGACTCCGTTTATAGAAAAGCCAGTCCTAGGCTTCAATATGTCCTGTAACGAATCTAAAGATTCTACCTCCAGAAGCAGCGAGCGGAGTTTGGCTGTTAGGTCCCAAAATCCCAGTTGAGGCTGCACCAGGGATTTTGTTAACACGACAGACAGTGGACACCTGTCTTATGGGTGTGGTTTCCATGTCTTCCTCAAGTGATGAGCAACTGCTGTTGAGTCTTGATCTATGCGTTGGTTTCGCGGCAGACAGTGACTAAAACAAAAACATTAGTTTCTCATTAGAACTGGACTGTTAAAAGACCTGTTAATTTGATACGAAATTAATTTCTTCAAATTAATTTGTTTTTGTTTTTGGGATAACTAGCAAATAACCTATTTTTCCCACAATGACTGGATGAAAGAAGTGAACAGTGAGATCCTGAAAAATAATTTTAGAAAAATAAATCATCATAACAGTAATGGTTATTAATAAAATAAACTATAAAGTATGATTGTGTATACTTACAAAAGTGAAATTGGAAGTCAGTGACATAACTTGACCAGGTGTTCTGAAAAAACTTGAACCTGTTGTCTTGTCATTCTTGTTCAGAGATGGTGTGCTCATCACATCAATAAAACTTGGTTCTGAAAACAATAGTTTAAGATTATGAAGTCTGTAGTGTACAGCAGAGAACATAGATGCAGGGCAAAAAGCTTCCATTCCAGTAAAAGAAAAAAGTTGTGAAGGAAAAACCAAGTCACAACAGGTTCTAGTTTTGAGTCTGAGTTGCAGAGAAAGAGGCACTACACTGTACATTCCCTTATCAATAAGTAAAGAGAATTGTGTGAAATGGAAAGATAACACGGTGCCTCTTGATGGTCAAGTATTCATTTTTACATTGTTGGGGAGAGGTTACCAAATAGTATTGCTGACAGATCATCCCCATAGCATGTTTCAATCCATTATGTAGTTTCATAATTTCATCCACTTTTGGCTTGAATGACTGACCCACTTTTACCAGAGGAAAGGTGAAGCAAAATGAACAGTTTATGGAGTTGGCCAAACTGATAAATAGTGATTGTCAGATATTATGCAGTTCTAAGCAACAGAGGCAACCATTTTCTTGCATAAATTATATGAATGGATTTAGCTTAATATCAATAACTAGACTGATGTAAATGGGAATAAAGAGTATATATGCATTCAAACTATAAACCAATCACAGCATGACATTAAAGGGCAAACACTTTCAAGACAAACAAAAGGTTATCAACTAATATTCCAATGGATGGAAGTTGTCAAAAATTAATTCACTAAATTAAAAATAAAGGAACAGAGGCACAGCAAAAAAATATAAATAAATCATGGGTTTGTTTAACGTTTGCATGATACATACTCCCAACTGGTGAAATAGACTTACTTCTTTCCAGTGTCAACCTTGACAGCCCAAAATCAGTTAACTTGATTTTTCCTTCATTGGAGATTAGAAGATTGTCCGGCTTAAGATCCCTATAATTTTGTTTTGAAAACGAACTTTTACAAAAGTTTCATGAATGGAGAAAGGTGCATCATGCAATGGGCTTTGACCAGCACCAATGGTATACACAGTTACTCTAAAGACACTGCATTTTACTGTTTTATCCTCTGCTAATTTTTAAAGACACATCTGGAAAAACCTGTTTAACACTGGCTGTGAGAGAAACTGTTTTTTTTCCCCAAGATATCAGGTTGACGAAGAGAGAGAGAGAGAGACAAAAAAAATTAAGGAAAGAGAAAACTCAATGACGAAAGGAAGTTTAGTTTTGAGGTAAATTCCAAAATACAGTTTGACAACCACAGTGCTGTATTTATGGAAGGGCTAGAAATATTGCAGCTCTTGGGATGAACTTGACTCCCTGTGACCCTCCAAACTAATTAGATTTAGTTCCATGAAGAAACTCCAGGAGAATGTAGTTTCCTTGTAAATGGTACGACATATTTCATTTAAAATTGATAAAACTTTTGCATCATAACACTGACGAAACCAACGATTTGGTAATTGTAAAATTTCCTAAATGTTGCTTTTACCTGTGAATAATTCCATGTTTGTGAAGGTAATCCAAAGCCAAGACCACCTGCAGCCACAACACAAACCATTGAAGGCTCTAAATTTAAATAGGGCTTGAAGGACAAGTGATGAAACAGTAAGATGAGTTTAATATGTACGGTGAGTAGTATTGGTAGGCATTAAAGCCAAGTGGCCCACGACACCCTGCAGCTTACATACATACATACATGCATAGTTTATTTGATAAAGCAGGTTACTAGGTAGGCAAGACTAAAGTCCTGATGTGGACCTGCTAACTAATTTAAAACTTTACACTTAATTAAGAAATAGAAATATGTACATATTTGATTTGATTTGATTTACTCACTTTCACCAGAGTGTGGTGAGGGTCACACAACAGAGCGAGGCTCCTTATTAAGTGCGCCCTGTATCCCACCCATCCCACCCCAGGGGAGGACATCCATCACACAGTAATCTCGTGTGTGGGAAATTAACGTCTCCTACCCCAACCCTGCAGGAGACGGGACCTCCATTTATTCGTCCCTATCCGAGAAGACTAGAATATCTAACCATTTCTTGATGTTATAGAAAGGTAGCAAATTCTTCTCAATTATTTTAAGACC